ATTTCTTTGCTGCTGTTTTTTTCTTTTCTTCTTTGTTTGTTTTGTTTGAAAGGGTGTCTGTAGTTTGCATTCTAGGCTTAGCTGTTATTATTTGTACTTTCATTGTTGACATTCTTATCAACTGTACAATTCAAATTATTTGTAAAATTGCAAATACATAAATAAAATAAATATTAATTTTTTTTTTTTTAAGTTAAAGGGTGAAACTCTTGAGGCCAGGACCTCATCCCTGACCCGGAGAACTCAAGACCGTGGTCTCAGATTTAGAGGAGCTGATGAAGCCAACAGGACCACGTTATCTGCAAAAGGTCTTCGAGGAGGTCTTTGAAGTACTCCGCCCACCGATCCAGACGGACATGAGCAGGCTGAAGACATCCCCGTTTAAGGTGTCAGGGTTGTTTCAGTGATGAGACTGACCATGAGAGCCTCGTAAGGCTGCTCCTGTGGCCTGCCTGTGACCCGTTTTGTGTGCATGTTGAGTGTTTAACCTTGGTCGGGCTGTGCTCCATTTCTACGCTGGTGCAGCGACGTTAAAGTTGATTCTGACGGATATTTCTGTTCCGTGTTCTTCCTGCACATTCATATCCAAACCACAGTAGAACATAATCTCACAACCTTTTATCAAAGCGACTAGGATGTTAAACGGGGATCTCTTTACTTTGTTTTACTGTGGTAGGATTCTGTCATTTCACAGCAGTTTGAATTTAGCTTCAGATTCTGTTGAAAACGTTAACTTTTAGATTTATAACATTCCAACTTTATTTTAAATATTTTAGATTTGATTTTAAAGGTTTATCTCAACATTGTTATGAGTTTTTTTTAATATCACAACTAAATACATACCTCTGGAAATGTAATGCCCCGTTTTTATTGTTTCCGAGGAGCAGCATCAGCCAAATTAGCTTTTTGTTTTATTTAATGTGTTACTTTACAATCGCCAGCCCGCGTTGTTTTCTAAAGGTAATAGTAATATTTAATAATTTGTCAGTTTGTTTGACGAAACTCTTTCAAGTTTTCAGAACTAAATAAAAAGAAGGCAGACAATCAAACCCTAAACTGAGCTCCAGTTCATTAAGCCTAGCTCCAGAGGTTTGGCACACACCTTCTCCTAGCAACCGTCCTCCCTCTGCGCACTCATTTGTGTCGATTCAGATTCAGAGATGCCAGCTGTTGGTTCAGCATACTCCTGCAGACCAGGTTCACCGGGCCTCCCTGGCCCTCGTACAGATTCAGCGCTGACCCGTCCAGCCTGTCCTTCCAACTCTACCTAAGCACAACGAGACAAAACTACTGGTGCTCAGATCTGGAGGCGAGCAAGAAGTTGGCACTGACAGAAAAAAACCACACTGGTAAGCAAAGACTCACAGATGACTGCAGCTGAATGCTCTGAACGACTAAAAACAGCAGCGTGCAGCGAAATGTGTGAGTACACAAGATGTTGAGGAGATGACTCACTGTGTTTTGATTCTGGAGCACATGTGGTGTGTGTGTGTGTGTGTGTGTGTGTGTGTGTGTGTGTGTGTGTGTGTGTGTGTGTGTGTGTGTGTGTGTGTGTGTGTGTGTGTGTGTGTGTGTGTGTGTGTGTGTGTGTGTGTGTGCGTGTTTATGACAAAAGAAAAGCCTCAAAGCTCTTCATTCACACACGGATGACACAATATCATCATGCATGACTACCGACCTGCTGATGATGTTCAACACAAATCTGCTGCTGAACAAGTTTTTCTGTTTGTTTTTAAACCAGATTTCATTTAGCTTAGATGGGGTTCACAGTATTTGCACTAAAGACCCTTGAGAGTGAAAGTGAAATGACATGAAGGGGTTATTTATATTAAGATAGATCACAATATCGACCTGTGAAGCCATTTTTTTCTTCAGAAGTTCAGCAGACAGAAGACAGACGACTTTGAAAATGACCCGGAAAGCACAAAAAGGTTCATGCAACAGTGTCTGATTCTTTTTTAAAATGCATCCAATTATGTTTTTAACAAACTCAGACTAGATTTAAGTTTTGAGTTATCTGTATATCTTTAAGCGACTTTAGATGAAAACTATTTCTATCTTGCCCTTTGCTGCTGAACATGGAGAAATAAAGTTTATGCCCAACGGGATCAATGAGCTAACAGCTAGTCTGAGCTCACCCAAAACCAAGGTACTGACCTCTCAAAGAGCTTCAGTCTCCTAAATGTCACAGCAAACCTCTACACTACGAACCTTTGTCGACTTCACATTAAAGATGCGTAGAGAATCCTGGTGGAAGTGGTGCCGGGACCACATTTAGCTGCTTTACATTTGTAAACTGCCACAGAAATCCATCTGAAAAACCTAGCAACATGAAACCGAGGGTAAGGGTTTATAAAATAACATTTAAAGGTGTTGAACACTCATTTGTTCAATACATATGCAGGAAATAATGCCTAGTAAGCCGTACTCTGGGGGTGGGGGGGAGCCCTGATGTACCAGGAACTAGAGGTGAGCCACATCAGAGAAGAGCTTCAGACAG